ACATGTCTGCATATCTACATTGTCAACAATATCGGTAAGAAAAATAATTAGGATGTTCTAGTTACAAAATGAGATTTCATGAAATTCTTCAATCTTGTATAATCTGTAATGTATGATCATTGTTTTTGATTTAAAATTGCAAACCATGACGAACGAAATTTATGTATAGTTCCTTTATGTGGATTTCAAGCAGGGCATTCAGCGATGGAGTCTGGTATCAATTTACGTAAAAGGTATAATTATTGAGAGAACAATGTGGTTGTTGATGAAATTTTGTGTAAATGATACGAGTGTCTAAAATGAACCATAAGACTCGAATATGCAACCTCGATTAAAATGCATAAAAATTAAGATACAACTATTGGACGTGGACGAGAAGACACACATGTGGATACGTTTTTATATGTATCAGCCAAAGACCACGCGTGTGGATATTAGAATTATTTTTTAAAATTGATTTACTTGAAAATTTATTTATTTAGAAGTCAAAGGAACCATCATCCAATAATGACTATTTTATCCAAAAATCTTGACATGTTAATAAAGAAGATTGCTTTTGGACGACCACATATATGTTCAACAATCATTTACTTTACAAACCCATTAATCTTTCAACACCCATTGTCAAATACTTGTACCTTACTTATTTTCTTAACCACAATTGTGCTACATTTACTAACACAATATCTAACGTATAGACATAAAAATAAAAATACATGAATTCAACAAAAATACGATTCAGAATAAACAGAAATAGAAGAAGAAATATCGAAGACAATCGTATCGAGTGGAAATGGTTCAGATGCAGAACGAATCCGCGCAGACGGTTTGGCAAAAAGAAACTCGATTGTCGTCTCGTCGAAGGAGAAAGCAATGTATGCGCAAAAAGGGTCCACTCGTGTTCGCGAATGGTGAATGGACCGGTTGTGGAGCTCGCGAGCGAATCTCGGGCAGCACAGCCTGATGGCTAATAGAGTGAACAGGGTCTGTGAACGTTTGTTCGAGCTGGACGTCGAAAACGCGATGCGCAACGATAGACGCAGCGTTAAAAATACACCGCATGGCCAGTCCGACACGACACGTGGCAATGAACAATTTTCTTGTACCTTCTCGATCGAAGGGTCGTTCACACCTGCGAATTTGCCTGATGACTAGGCACGGAGGTGCATACAGTCACCTAGCGATCGCGCCAGACCACAATGGAATCTACAAGTACGCGCGGAAGTTCACGCTTCTTACGGTGTACGAGATGGAATTTTAGTTTTTAGTTGCGTTTTAGTGTGAGAGATATCTCTTTTATTGGCGAGTTTTGTAGGGTTTCTGGTAATGGATGGGAATTTGGGAATTGGGGGATTTGGGGAGTAAGGGATTTGAGAATTGAAGGATTTGGAAATTTAAGGATTTGAGAATTGGGGGATTTGGGATTCGGGGAATGTGGGAATTGGGGGATTTGGGAATTGGGGGATTTGGGAATTCGGGGATTTGGGAATTCGGGGATTTGGGAATTCGGGGATTTGGGAATTCGGGGATTTGGGAATTCGGGGATTTGGGAATTCGGAGATTTGGGAATTCGGGGATTTGGGAATTCGGGGATTTGGGAATTCGGGGATTTGGGAATTTGGAGAGATTTGGAAATTGGGAGATTTGGGATTTGGGGGATGTGGGATTTGGGGAATATGGAAATTGGGGGATGTGGGAATTGGGGGATGTGGGAATTCGGAAGATGTGGGAATTGGGGGATGTGGGAATTCGGGGGATTTGGGAATTCGGGGATTTGGGAATTGGGAGATTTGGGATTTGGGGGATGTGGGAATTCGGGGATTTGGGAATTGGATGATTTGGAAATTGGGGAACTTGGGAATTAGGAAATTTGGAAATTAGGAGATTTGGAAATTGGGAGATTTGGAAATTGGGAGATTTGGAAGTTGGAAAATTTGGAAATTGGGAGATTTGGAAGTTGAAAGATTTGGAAATTGAAAAATTTCGGAATCTGAAAACTTAAGAATTTGGAAATCTAGGAATTGGTAATCTGAGAAATATAGAACTATAAAAACCTTCAAAGTCTACCTCCCTACCTCAATACTAATTTTCCCGCCATAGCATCCCAAGATCACAGACTCCTCTCTCCACTAATCAAATTCATGAACTATCATCTATTTTTATATCCACCTAACAATAGTATATAAAATCGATAGATAGTATTAATGCTTCATAACACGTACAAAGGAATAATTTACTTTATAAAACGTTATAAATGCTATGGAATAAATATTACAGTATAGGTTAGACACAGTGCCGATCTCTATTTAATGGCGGAGCCAGAGCAACAGTCGGAGACGTTCAAAATTGGATAATTCGTAGGCGTAGACCTAGAAACACATCGGTGTATTTCTATCGCGACGGTGTCGTTCGAAAAAGCATCGACGAATACGATCGTCTGAAGTGGGAATTTTATTGCGATAGAAACGTCCAGTGACAACATTGTTGATGAATACGTGGATATTTGTGATCTACTGTGGCGAATTTTCGGGAAACGAATTCATGGAAATATTTTTTATTCTTCCTGTTTCTGTTACTATTATTAGAAGTAAATTCTTTAAACGCAAATTTATATGTACATTTTAATTTAAAATATACATTATACCATTTATGTCATTTAACTTAATTGATAAACAAGTTAAAACAATGTTTTAAAACTGTGTTCTTTCTGTTTCGATAATATACAAAACTACAAATAGTTACTGGGTTATATACAATGAGAAAGCAGTTCCAAAAATTTATGGGTATAGTTTGCAGTGATATAAGTGAACTTATAATTTGCAGCCATATATTCGAACACCACTGTACTTCCACAGGAACTTGCACGTAAAAACTTCGGTGAGTTAAAATAGTTTCCCTAAAAATATTCAACATGTTTTGACTGTGTTAAACCACTTATTAAAGTAAATTCTATGATGTAAAAATATATATGAAACTTTGAAAAATTAAAAGTTTGTCTAATAAAGAGTCTGTCTAAATAAAAATTTGACTAAATATGACATATGATTCAAAAATAATCTACCTAACAAACAACATAATTGCACCGTGCTACCAAAAATTATAAACACGTCTGATCGCCGTCCAAGACAATGTTTTTTCAAACTCGAAAATTCGCTGGTCGTTCCAAGGGTAACGTCCAAGACTGGATCTAGCGTGGGCGTGTTTCGAGAGGAACGTGGCCAACGTGAGATCGTATTTTCGCGCGAAAACGTAATAGACGATATTTTTAAACTCGCAATAAAAATCCAACAATTAAGTGATCGAAGATCAACGCTCGAACCACCAAGGAAGTTGCAGGTACAGATGAATAATAAGGGCGGTAATCGAACGGCGTTTCGATGCATCGATTATTTCATCGAACGACTAAGCGAGATTACTCATCCGCGTGGATATAGAAACCCGTCGTGGGTGGTGACTATAAACACGCTTCTGAACTTCCCCTGCTTCGATGCGTCGACTTACTTTCTTGTTTCTTTCTGAAATAGCTTGTTTGCTCTATTGTATATTTGCTTCGACGTTTTGGAAAATTCCTTGTAGTTATAGGTGGCTTCTATATTTTTTTTTAAAGGAGCAACAAAGTAGACATTTTTCTTTTTTAATCATTTCTGTTTGAATGTAATGCATTGAAGCTGTTAAATGTAGCTGGTATTGTTTATATTATAGACAATTTAATATGTTGTTTTAACAATATACAATTTCTGTTTGAATGTAATGTACTCAAGCTGTAAATTGTAGCAGATATTGTTTATATTATAGACAATTTAATATGTTGTTTTAACAATATACAATTTCTGTTTGAATGTAATATATTGAAGCTATTAATTGTAGCTGATATTGTTTATATTATAGACAATTAAATATGTAGTTTTAACAATATAGTATTTCTGTTTGAATGTAATGTACTCAAGCTATAAGTTGTAACTGATATTGTTTATATTATAATTAATTAAATATGTACTTTTATCAATATACAATTTCTGTTTGAATGTAATGTACTCAAGCTATTAATTGTAGCTGATATTGTTTATATTATAGACAATTAAATATGTAGTTTTAATAATATACAATTTCTGTTTGAATGTAATGTACTCAAGCTATAAGTTGTACCCGATATTGTTTATGTTATAGCTAATTAAATATGTAGTTTTAAAAATATAATATTCTTAAATGTACTGCTAATAATGTAGAATTATGTAGTGCATTTTAAAACAATATTATTAGAGTGTTATTTAAAAATAATATCTAGTATAAGTAGCTTATATAATTTCAGTTGTAGCTAACATACTCATATTTAACTTTTAGAAAATGTTTATCTCCAAACTCTTCCCTCAAACAATTTTACCTTACAATTTTATCCCACTATGGTTTTATCCTACTTCTATGATACTTCCTACTGCTATGATACTCAAAGACAAAATATAATTTCATATGTCTGCCTCAAATGAAATTTCATATCGAACATCGTTGTAGTAACACATTTAGTAAGCTCTTCAATAACCTAACCTCTTAAGTAACTTCTTCAGTAACCTAACCTTTTCAGTAACGTAACCTAACCTCATTTAACATTTTACATCATAGAATAGCAATTGCAGCAGCCATCGATTGATAATATAAACAAGACACGAATTAATCGATACAGAAAGCAACGATCTATAGTGAACGAAGAATCATTCTGTTGGCCAGTTCGATGAATACTCGTCGATGTTTTCCTTTTCGACGACAAAATATAGGTCGAGTCGTTTCTTGGAATCGTCGCAAGGCCCGTCGTTAAAACTGCCATCTTCAAAGAACGAGTTCCACGCGTTTTACCATTCTCGATCGACTCCGCGGTCTTCAACGTCAGCTTACGAGCGGGTCAAAGATGAATTATTCCTCGGAAGACTTGGATCACGACATCTTGGTCTTATTGCTTCGAAATAATCATCCTTGGCACTCGGTCGTGTTTACTGATTCACTATTTATGTAATTTCAAATGGCTTTAAATAAACGTGCGAAGCTGAACGATCCATTGTGAACGTATTACGAAGCAACTTTGAACGTAACAATTTTCGAGAAATTTCACAGTTTTGGGTAATTATATCCACGGTTAAATTCGTGATCTACAATTGTAACAACGGACAAGTTTTGTAACTAATTCTTGAAAAAATTCTGGTAACTATAATAATGGAAGCAACAATGAATATGCTAATAATGAAATTAACAATGAATATATTAAAAATGAAGTTAACAATGAATATACTAATGATGGAATTAACAATGAATATGTAAATAATGAAATTAACAATGAATATATTAAAAATGAAGTTAACAATGAATATACTAATGACGGAATTAACAATGAATATGCAAATAATGGAATTAACAATAAATATACTAATAGTGAAATTAATAATAAATATGCTGGTAATAAAATTAACAATAAATATGCTAATAATGAAATTAACCATGAATATGCAAATAACAAAATTAACAGAAAATATACAAATAATGAAATTAAAAATAAATATACTAATAACAAAATTAATAATAAATACACTAATAATGAAATCAACAATGAATATGCTAATAATGAAATTAACAGTGCCTATGCTAATAATGAAATTAAAAATAAATATGCAAATAATGAAACTAACAGAAAATATACAAATAATAAAATTGCCCATAGTGAATCATAATTTGAGACGATGTACCAGAATATATGTAGATGAATATTTGATTCGTGACTATTCTGCCATACACAAAAATGGCGCAGCGGGAGATTTAAAAATCGAAGGAGCTTCATTACATTGCTTGATTAGAAAATATCGAAGCAGGGAAAATAAGGTTGAATTACAACGACACCATGAACGCGAATCCCGACCTTTCTCAATCCCTAAACGTGATCCAAAAAGCTGACGCTATTTTCGTGCAACCTGGAAGCAAGGAATTCGAATGCCCAGATTGCCTCGGTCACCAAGATCCCTCACACTGCTCACTCTCGAATTAAAACGTGTTTGTCTACCAAACATTGTAATCGCTTTCGACGATTCTATATTATAAGCTAATGTAAGTCTTCATCTGTCTTCAAGTTTAAAAAAGAAGAATTAGATTTTGATTTTTCGAGTGAAAGTAGGGTTAAAATCTTTATATCTTTGAAATGATTAAGAAATCTTCTTTCTAGGTCAAAAATCTGAATGGATACTATATAACATGAAGTTACAACTATTAAAAAAAAGAAAATAAAACTTCACTCCTTGAATAAAAATTATTACCTCCTTCTTTTTAAACTGGCAACTTAAGACCCCAGAAAATATTCTTCTTAAGTTAGTTTGGGACAGAACCACATTATGTACACACTAAAATAATGTTTTAAATTCCAAGCAACTTAAATTTGAAGCAAAGATTTATCTTCGGTTTTCGAGAATCAAATATTAATTAAAACTTGTGGAACCTAATCATGGTCTCCCAAATAAAAATCCTTACAGATTGGAATACACATAAGTTTCTCTTACAATCGCTAACAGTCTATGAGCCCGGGTAACATTTTACAGAAGCCACCGAGGTGGTCTTGCAAACAATCTGCCTTCAAGTTCCAGAAAAGCTGAACATCAATCTCTCAAGACAAAATTCTAAAAACAATCAGTTGAGACTTTCAACATTCCCAACCGCCTGACTCCACAACTCCGAGATTCTGGGTTAAACCTCCCAAAGCTTCAATCTTTCAAATAAAATCCTTATAGAACAAAAACTCACATAACTACAAGTCAATCTTACAATCCTACATTCTATGATCCAAACGTCTCACAGTACATCATCTTGCAAAGATCACTTGCAAGACCTAAACTTCAGAAAAGGAAATTAAACACTGATTTAACACTCCATGATCTAACTATACCTAAAATTACTCAATAACCTAGAACGACTAGATAACCTAAACTGACTAGATAACCTAGAATAAATTATCAGCTAGATGTTAAAAAGAACCTAAAGTCCTAGCCTAAGTCCCTATCAAGTTCGAAACCAGTAGCAAATGCTGCGAAAGAGCAAGTTCAAGGTAGGAAGGATGTTTAGCAGCATCCGGTTGCAAGGTACGATAGGTAGAGGAAAATCCAATCTTACCCCACGAACGTCGAGGTGCTCATGTCGGATAACGTTTGGTATCCGCTGGACGCAACGAAATCCGGTGTCCCGGGTAAGCTCGCGCCGCCTCGTGCCGCTTTCCACCAGCCGATAGGAACCGGTTCTCTCTGGTCGTGCCTGTTCCTCGGAGGTCCCTGATCGTACCAGGAGGTGGAAGGTGACGGATATGGAAAGGGACGAGCAGCACCGATGCCGACACTAGCGCGCGCCCGCTGCTACTGCGGCCAAACCATCCGCCGACTCGCGGGTCACGCTATTTCGCCGCCATTCCTCTTTGTCGCTGCTTCCTTGCGGATGGCGCGTACGGACGAAACCTACTCATCTACACTCATTTTTATTTGCAAATTAACGCTATTTATTTACCGCAATTAGAACTGAATTTTTAGTTTTTGATGTTGTGTTGTATTATGGGAGAAATGGGGAGATGGAGATGGGATTCTGGGATGTTTGGGGATGTCAGGAGTGATGCTGTTGGGTAGAAGCTTTCAGTGGGATTTGGATTTTAAGAGGTGTAGAGAAATAATTGTTAACTTGTCACATTGTCAAATTCTTAAATTTTAATTTCTCTAATTTGAAAATTTGGTGATGAAGTTGGATGACGGTGTAAATAATTATAATGAGGGTTTTCTGACCTCAACTGGTGCTTGTACTTTGCAACCACTTATGTGGACAGATTAGATATGTGATCAAACATAATCTGACATATGTTCAAATATCTTAATGCTCTAATTTTACTATATTTAATATGAATGCACCACATTCTTCTTCTGTAACAATTACTTATAGTACGTTAATTTCTTTTAGAGTGTGCTATGTAAAATTCTATCCATTTATCTATCTATCTATCTATCTATCTATCTATCTATCCACCTACTTACCTATCTATCTATCTACTTACCTATCTATCTATTTATCTACTTACCTATCTATCTATCTATCTATCCACCTACTTACCTATCTATCTATCTACCTACTTATCAATCTACCTACCTGTCTACCTATCTATCTATCTACTTACCTATCTATCTATCTATCTATCCACCTACTTACCTATCTATCTATCTACTTACCTATCTATCTATTTATCTACTTACCTATCTATCTATCTATCTATCCACCTACTTACCTATCTATCTATCTACTTACCTATCTATCTATTTATCTACTTACCTATCTATCTATCTATCTATCCACCTACTTACCTATCTATCTATCTACTTACCTATCTATCTATTTATCTACTTACCTATCTATCTATCTATCTATCCACCTACTTACCTATCTATCTATCTACTTACCTATCTATCTATTTATCTACTTACCTATCTATCTATCTATCTATCCACCTACTTACCTATCTATCTATCTACTTACCTATCTATCTATTTATCTACTTACCTATCTATCTATCTATCTATCCACCTACTTACCTATCTATCTATCTACTTACCTATCTATCTATTTATCTACTTACCTATCTATCTATCTATCTATCCACCTACTTACCTATCTATCTATCTACTTACCTATCTATCTATTTATCTACTTACCTATCTATCTATCTATCTATCCACCTACTTACCTATCTATCTATCTACTTACCTATCTATCTATTTATCTACTTACCTATCTATCTATCTATCTATCCACCTACTTACCTATCTATCTATCTACCTACTTATCAATCTACCTACCTGTCTACCTATCTATCTATCTACTTACCTATCTATCTATCTATCTATCTACCTACTTACCTATCTACTTATCTATCTACCTACTTACCTATCTACTTATCTATCTACCTACTTACCTATCTACTTATCTATCTACCTACTTACCTATCTACTTATCTATCTACCTACTTACCTATCTACTTATCTATCTACCTACTTACCTATCTACTTATCTATCTACCTACTTACCTATCTACTTATCTATCTACCTACTTACCTATCTACTTATCTATCTACCTACTTACCTATCTACTTATCTATCTACCTACTTACCTATCTACTTATCTATCTACCTACTTACCTATCTACTTATCTATCTACCTACTTACCTATCTACTTATCTATCTACCTACTTACCTATCTACTTATCTATCTACCTACTTACCTATCTACTTATCTATCTACCTACTTACCTATCTACTTATCTATCTACCTACTTACCTATCTATCTATCTTTCTATCTACCTACTTACCTATCTATCTATCTATCCACCTACTTACCTATCTATCTATCTACTTACCTATCTATCTATCTATCTATCTACCTACTTACCTATCTATCTATCTATCTATCTACCTACTTACCTATCTACTTATCTATCTACCTACTTACCTATCTATCTATCTATCTATCTACCTACTTACCTATCTATCTATCTTTCTATCTACCTACTTACCTATCTACCTATCTATTTATTTATTTACCTTATCGACCAACACTCCATAACCATAATTTGCGTTCATTTAACCGATTTGCATCGCTTTCCTCCCCGACTAGAAGAAACAATACAAAACGCGAAGAGAGTACAGAAATGGAGTTACATTTCAACATGAAAGCGAACGATTCGAGCGCGATTATAGAAGGCAAGATCGGTTCCAGTTGAAGGATGATCCAGAGGGAATAATGTAATCGGTTAACGCAGCAGGTGGTTTCTTAGCCGACAAACAAAGCTACGATAAAAACTGATGTTTCCTGATCTGGATCTAACAATTTCGTCGGGATCGTGTCGTTTCTTTGCTCGATGTTAGTCAACCATGACGAAAAGCTACGTCGGGTTAGCTTCAGAAATAAACGACGAGACGTGGTCGTTTTCTTCTCACGAGGTACCTTTCTCTCTCGAAGAGAAATTATATTACTCTTAATATTTAATTTCGTTTGAAACACCTGTATCTGAAAAATTTTTGTTGAGAAAATTTCGATGTACTGCTTTTTCGCATGCAAAGATTCCACTGAAATGGTTAGGTAAATTGGTAAATTGCCTCGTTAAATTTTAATAAGTGGAACTATTTTATTTGCTTTTAATTCGAAATGGACTTTCTGACAGATCTAATACAAAAATAAATTTTTCTAACACAAGTGAAGATAAGTTGTAATGCAAATAAAGATAAATTGAAAGATTTCATTCAACCAAAGAGGAATTTAATTAAAAATCATTGAACAATTGAACGTTGCTTAAACACTAAATAACGATCGCTGTTTTTACAATTGAGATACGTAATTTATTCTGATGCGAGTATAGTACTCTAACAAGCTTCTAGCGCTACAAGCAATTAAGCATCATTAACCCTTTGTAATCGGAAGCGATTAAAGTGAAAGGTACTGTTTAAACCTCTCTTATAAAAATAGGGATTCAGACATCGGATAACCAAAGAAAGCCTCTTAAACTCTTACCCAGTTTCTTTAAATTCATCAAGGATTCTTTTAGAATTTATTTATTACAATCGTTACATTTTTCCTAACCTTAAATATCCTTGGAAGATTAACTGGCATTCCTTCTTACAGAGAGTATAAAATACTACATTTTATTGTAAATATATCTTTTTAATAAAGGAAAGAAGCTAGATATATTTCAGTTAACAAACATTAACAACTAAACGAAGTCCAACTTCCGCAAACCCCAACTAGTTAGCATCAGAAGCTACGATTCTATCAAACTCCTCCTCGTGCTCGGAAGTGGTCAGCATATAAGCTGGCAGCGTGATTCCAAGGACCTTATCGTACACGGGTCTAGTTTCAGCAACATATTCGTAAGGTTCAGCTTCCTTCCCAGCTCCAGAATCTACCTCCTCTTTCTTCCTCACTTCGATATTTTCACTGGCAGAGGCTTCTGGTTCCACAGGGACATCTTCCACCTTCTCGTTCACAGATCTGGGTATCTTCTTGCTAGGTTCCTCGACTTCGTCCACCTTGTCTTCTGCTAACTCGCCGTCGGTGATGAAAGCACACTCCTCTTTCCTGAATCCTTTGTCGTCCACGCATTGATAACACGTCATCTTACCACGCATCATTTTTTTACAATTCGAGCGGTCTTCCTTCTGGAACTCCTGCAGGAACTTTTTGATCTCCGCCTTCTTCTTGAACGCTTCAGAAAAGTCATCAACCTTCTTCGGATCTGTCTTCTCTTCGGTTTTCGTCTCGGCATCGCTCGTAGAAGACTCCCTAGTATCTCTGTCCTTCCCGGAATCCCCATAGAAACCGAAACTGTCCTTGCGAGGTTCTGACTCCTCGGTCTCCGAACCCTCGTAGGTCTTGTCTTCGTGGTTCTCCGTCTTCGTGGGGCTTCCAAACGACTTGGACTTGCTGTAAGAATAGTTCTTGTCGGATGGTTGCTGTTCATACGAGCATTGCTCAGAATTGCTGCCTGTTTTCGGGTCCTTGCACACCTTGCAGCTCAGCGAACCCTTCTGGACCTTCTTGCAGTGCGTTGGCTCGATGCTTTGGGCGATCCTTTCGGATTCGGACTTGGACCTCGCGTATCCTGACAGCGAATCATCGTCCTCCGCGGTGGATTTCTTGTTCTCCGACGCTGCCGCGTGGTAACTGTACAGTGGTTTGTACTCATAATTCTCTGGAACCGAGTAGTCTCTCTTGTACTCCTCGTCGGACTCGCTCGCTGCTTTTTCTACGGGTTTATCGTCTTTGTATTCGGGCTCCTCCTCGGTCGACGATTTTCTGGGACTCCCGAAGCTCTTGGAGCTGCTGAACTTGTAGACCTTGTCGTTCGGCTGGTAACTATAGGAACACTTCTCGTAGTTTCCTCCGGTATCAGGGTCCTTGCAGACGGTACAGGTCTTCGAGTCTCTTTGCACCTCCTTACAGTTACTGGGTGACTCTTCCGACTTTTGCGACTCCTTCTTGAACACAGAGTCCCTAACCGGCTTGCTCTCTGATTCTTCGTCGTGTTCGTCGTCTTCCTTGCGTTCAGGGTTCTTGAAGGAGCTGGATTTGCTGAAGGCGTAGCTTTTCTCGTTGGGCTGGCGGACGTAGGAGCACTGCTCGTACTTGGCGTTGCTCTTGGTGTTCTTGCAGACCATGCAGACCATGGAGTCCTTGAAGACCTTCTCGCACTTCTCGTTCTTGTTCTTGTACTCGGCTGGCACGCCTTCCGAAGCGTCCGTGAAGATCTTCTCGTTGAATCTGTAAGGACTATCGTGTCTCCTGTAGCCAGAGTCCCCATAACCATAGGAGGACTCGTCCGAATTAGATCTCCTGTTTCTGAACCCTGAGGGATCGGTTTCTTCCTGATTACTAGACTCCGCCGTCGGCTGAGAAGCGTACGAACATTGCTCGTACGTGGCTCCGTTCTTAGGATTCTTGCATTTGTAACAAGTCATACTGTCCTTCGTGCTTCCATCTTTACCAGGCTTCTTCGTCTTGATCTCCTGGCAGTAGGGGATGCCCGACTTCATCACGATGTCCCTATACTTCTGGGAGTCCTTCTCGGTGATGGTGTAAAACGGAGAGATTATCTTCTTGAAGTGCTTGTCCTCGAGAGGTACTCGCTTGCTGGCCGAGGCCGAAAACCATTCCTTGTTGGGTCTGTCGAAGGATTCGGAGGATTCGAATATTTCTCGGCTCTTCGGGTACTGAGCGTAAGATGGCGAGTACTCTGAAGAGTCGTGCGCTGCGTCTGGATTGCCACTCCATTCCTGCTGACCTAGGGACTTGAAACGATCTTCGTAGAATTTGGTGTTGGCGGACACGCTGAGGATCGCTAGTGATATGTAGATCTGTAAAAAGGAAGGAGGTTGTTGCAGTTTGTTATGAAACACATAAATATAGAAATAGACTGCGCTCAAGAAAAATTGAGTATGATAGTTGATTGATGAAGACAGTCCAATAGTAGTGAATTTTTACTATCAAAATATTGGAAGTACTTGTAGATACAACTACAAAATAAACAAAGGCTTCTGGCATTTAGGTAAATGTTATTGACTAATGGTTTTTCAAGTCATCAGGAATGAACAACATTTGAATGCATCAAAATTTAACTCAGACTCATATGTAGAACAAATTTAATCGCTGACATTTGCAGACAGTTAATGAATGTCATATAGTTTAATGGAAATTAAGAACATCTGATAAACAGCAGTATAAATTAACAAAAATTAATGAAGATTACTGGAAGATCGACAACTAATGTTAGGTAAAATAATAGCTAGGTAAAATTCATGTGTATCAGTAAGCTCACAGAAGTCAACATAAAGTGTCGAAATGGAACAAGAATGAATAGAAAACGAATTCATTTGCATCTACTATAATTTAACTAAAAGTAAATTTCATAGGTGTTAGCCTTGCAACTATCTTAATATCATTGAACCGTAAAAGAATTAATTTCACTGGCCATACCGTTAAAAAAGTATCTATATAAATAGAAATAATGGTGAGAATGAGAAACGCGTGAAGAGAATCAATCGGAAAAGGAATTACCAGAAACAGCTTGGTGCACCGAGTACCGTCGAGCTCGTAAGAAGGCATGATGGATCACTTATTCCGTTTCCGGTTCCGGTTCGACGAGCGACATCACTTTCCCACGAAATGATCTGTTGGTCTCTCGGATAGCCTTTATATCGACTTGTCGATTCGAAAACACCCGCCCCACCTTTGTCACCAGCGAGCGCAGACTGAAGTCGATCAGAAAAGCTTCGAATCGGTCAGCGTAAAACAGTGCCGGACGTTGTTTGTTCGCCCGTGGCCATTGCGAAGAAACCTCAATTTTTACCTCGTTAACGACAAAAAAGGAAAATATCAATTTCGATCACCCAAAGATGATTTCTTTGATCGATGACAAATTGCGGAGATTCTACCTCTAACGCCTCCTCGTTCATCTTCTTTTTTTGGCAGTACTTTGTCTGCTCACTGAAACGTGTAACTGTTTTTTCCAAAAGAAAGTATTCTTTGGCTTATTCGACACGCGTAATTGGAGGACAGTTTGGTAGGTGGGTATAAGACGGGTTTCGTGGTCCGCTGGAGAACAATTGGAAAGGTGATCTCTGGATCCGTCACTGCGACGAAACCGAACGATCGAATTGGAACGATACAGCCGAACGATTGCTAACTGCTCACTTTCATTTATGCAACTCCGTTACCGCGATCCGCGGAAAAAACGCAGGACAATAACCTGTGGACACGAGCGATCTTTTATGCAGTCTGACCGAGTGTGTTTCCGAAATTCGATTTGAAACAGAAACTCTGCCAATTCATGCAAGACATTAGATCACCAGAAGAATTCATTCATTTATTTCTAAATTTCTCAACTACCAGAGTTCCAAATTTTCAAGTTCACGAAGTTTACTATTTTTAACAATGTGCTTTAAAAATGTGCTTCAAAATCATTTCTTTGCAAGTTGAAATAAATATCCGAAATCTTTAAGATCCTTTCTTAATCGCAAGGCAGAGAAATGCATAATAGAGTAATTTCACTGATAAAGTAAGAAAGACCGTTTCGATCCGATTGAAATAACGATTCCTTTCAGCGTCCGCACGAAGCGTGAAACATTGGCAAATCGTGCGATGAAAATCGTGGAAAAAGTAAAAAGACAGTGGCAACTGTAGTCACCAGCGAGCGCAGACTGAAGTCGATCAGAAAAGCTTCGAATCGGTCAGCGTAAAACAGTGCCGGACGTTGTTTGTTCGCCCGTGGCCATTGCGAAGAAACCTCAATTTTTACCTCGTTAACGACAAAAAAGGAAAATATCAATTTCGATCACCCAAAGATGATTTCTTTGATCGATGACAAATTGCGGAGATTCTACCTCTAACGCCTCCTCGTTCATCTTCTTTTTTTGGCAGTACTTTGTCTGCTCACTGAAACGTGTAACTGTTTTTTCCAAAAGAAAGTATTCTTTGGCTTATTCGACACGCGTAATTGGAGGACAGTTTGGTAGGTGGGTATAAGACGGGTTTCGTGGTCCGCTGGAGAACAATTGGAAAGGTGATCTCTGGATCCGTCACTGCGACGAAACCGAACGATCGAATTGGAACGATACAGCCGAACGATTGCTAACTGCTCACTTTCATTTATGCAACTCCGTTACCGCGATCCGCGGAAAAAACGCAGGACAATAACCTGTGGACACGAGCGATCTTTTATGCAGTCTGACCGAGTGTGTTTCCGAAATTCGATTTGAAACAGAAACTCTGCCAATTCATGCAAGACATTAGATCACCAGAAGAATTCATTCATTTATTTCTAAATTTCTCAACTACCAGAGTTCCAAATTTTCAAGTTCACGAAGTTTACTATTTTTAACAATGTGCTTTAAAAATGTGCTTCAAAATCATTTCTTTGCAAGTTGAAATAAATATCCGAAATCTTTAAGATCCTTTCTTAATCGCAAGGCAGAGAAATGCATAATAGAGTAATTTCACTGATAAAGTAAGAAAGACCGTTTCGATCCGATTGAAATAACGATTCCTTTCAGCGTCCGCACGAAGCGTGAAACATTGGCAAATCGTGCGATGAAAATCGTGGAAAAAGTAAAAAGACAGTGGCAACTGTAAATAATCGCTATAAATTTTATTTCCATTCTCGTTACACTGAATTATGAACAAATTGTTGGTCACGAATCGTCTGTATGCAATAGTACTATAAGTGAAATTATTATTGACAAAAAGGTTTCACTCTTTGAAAGAGAAATTTCGAGGATAGACAGAAATGTGAGACACTCGGGGAGCTCCTGGCTGCTTCTCGAATAGCATAGTGTTAGGGACAGGTTTCATCTGAAGTTTCGACGCTATCTTTTGGATCATGATTTTGTCGTTGTCGATGGTGTTCACTTTCTTCTTGTCTTTCTGTTTGTCCTTTTGCGTGGTGCGTTTGCGGTAGTATAGCACCTCTCCGGCTAAGGTGATCATGGCTAGGGCGAGTCCGAACAGGGTTGCGATGAATACTCCACCTGAAATCAAAGTAGCACTTAAACAATCACCTAATCACTTAACCCCTTGCACTATGATGTTTCCGTCGAGTGTGTCAGTCAGAACTGACTAATTTCAGCCATAGCATGAAAACAGACACAGAAACGTGAAATGTTATGTGAATTTGGTATCATGCAGTCGTTGACTATGCAAATTATAGTTGGACTTGAACTCCGAATTGAAATGTATTCAAAATTCGAGTAAAATTGGTCATAACCGAAGTATACGTCACGAGTCAGACTCGTCAAAATAGTGTAAGGGGTTAAATAATCACCTAGTCACTTAAACAATCACCTAATCATCTAATGAATCAGTATTAGTAAGCTTTCACTAGGGTGCTATTAACACTGAATATTAGATAATGGATATTATAGTATTTTGTAATAAATAATTTCATGAATTGACATCACTTGCCCAAACTTTCCAAAGTGATACCCTCGTTGTCATCAGAATTCATGCACTGTGCCTTCAGCGATTGGTTCCAGTACTTAGAAGCCAACGTCTCGAAGTACCTATCCTTCTGCAGATCTAGGATTCTGCAACAGAAGATAAAATGTAATATTTTTCTGGATGTGACAAGAGAAGAGTACCTTCTGCTTATTTCCTCTTGTAGGTGACTTCCTTGCTGCACAGCAATTGCGTAAGGTTGTTCCGCGAACACTTCACCAACCTCTGTCAAATTGCAGTTCCTCGTTACTTCATACCGGATCTCCGACGAATCGTGGATAAAAGCGAATTCCGCGTTCTCGCTTTCTATCACCTGCGACAAAAAGACTGTCATCGGTCATCGGTTCGAGCTCTCTACTTTTACTATGAAATTTGCAAGTCTAATTCCTGAAGACTCGAGAGAATTCACACGCAAGTATAAGAAACGTGGAAGTGTAAGGATAGTCGGAAATATGAGGAGTAACTGTAGTTCAGAGCTCGTACCTTGCGGAAGCCTTCCTCGGAACTCTTCACAGGGCCCACCTGCGTGATTGCTTGCAATATATGCCCGTACTGTTCTTTGATCGGATAGTCCCACACTCGATATTCCACCTGGTCACTCGTACTGTTCAACGTGATCTCCTTCCACACTCTACGATAAAATTAGCAGAACATTAATGTGGAAATTTATATTAAGTCTGCGAGGTGTAAATCATGTAATAGCTAAGCTATGAATTTTGTGGACTACAAAGTTCATTTGCCTTCGATACTTCATACATCAGCAGCAGTATAATAACCTCCTGACAATTTTAGAACAGTACTGAAACCTTTTATAAATACTGACAGATCATCCTTTCGCATGGGATCTAATCATTCTTTTACAACATGAGATCTGATCATTCTTTCACAATATAAGAGTAGAACATTCTTTCACGAAACGAAATCAGATCATTCATTTACGACATGAGTAATAAGGACATTCAAACGAATCTACTACTTAACATAAAGCACTAAAAGATTTTAGTATAATATCAAAGACTCACGTGTACAGCTTGTCTTCGGCATTTTTCATGTTCATGAAGTACTGATGCGTGCTAGAGTTAGCCAGAACGGTGTAGTTGATTCGCGACTGTCTGGCCAATTGCTCCAACGATTGTACAGGGGACTTGAACAAGATTATCAACCGTCAATATACATTCGATTTGAAGAAATACTTTTTAACATGTTGGTTTTTGAAGAAATCTTTTTAACATGTCGGTTTTTGATACCGATTCAACAAAGGTCAATAGCTACTCTAAAGAAAGCAACTACTCTAAGCAACAAAATATTTAATGGGACCAAATGTATTGCATTCAGGTTAGCCCAAAAGAAGTAAACCGCAAGGTGCATAAAACGTTAGTAGGACAATTAAGAAATCAACGATATTTGAACTGTCTAGGAGATAAGAATGAAAGAGGATAAAAGAACCTGCATTCGTTCCACGGTAAGAAAAGCTGCCAAATTTGCAGTGAACGTGGCAAGCATTAGAACCACGAATAACCAATAGGCTGCCACTAGTGTTCTGCTTGATAGTGCTTTGGGTGCTTCGCCTCCACCCTGAGGAGTAAAGGATGTCAATGCGAACCAGAAGCTTTCCTTCAGCGTAAATTCTCTGTACGGAAAATAGTAGTTACTTTAGAAGTCGAATTAATTAATTGGGAGGACTGTGATAACACAGATTAATTAGGAAAATTGGGAAATTGGGAAAATTGGGAAAATTGGGGAAAATGGAAAAATTGGGAAATTGGGGGAAAATGGAAAAATTGGGAAATTGGGAAACTTGGGAAATTAGGGAAAAATGGAAAAATTGGGAAAATTGGGAAATTGGGGAAAAATGGAAAAATTGGGAAATTGGGGGAAAATGGAAAAATTGGGAAATTGGGGGAAAATGGAAAAATTGGGAAATTGGGGAAAAATGAAAAATTTGGGAAAATTGGGAAATTGGGGAAATTGGGAAATTGGGGAAAAATTGGGAAAATAGTCAGAGTATAACATAAGTAAAATCTACAGCCATGCGAGGGATTTCACCTTAGTGAAAATAATATGAAATGATTGGTGAAGAAATTAGGTTTGAAGAATCGCTTATATTCTTTTATTGACATATTCGAGTAATGTAAAGTTATTGCTTCTTACCTACAAGGATAAGGATACAAGCGTTTGTTATTTCTCGCACTGTAAGGAGAGTACTTGTCAAGTATCCAAATCATGATACCAGTCAACGTTAACGCACCCACGATGCTCAGCCAGACCTCCACCTTCAGCACCGTCATGAATTTGAACAGGGATGGTTTACGAACTGGCTTTCGCATCACTTTGCAGCAATCACGTAGCGTTAGTTAATAATTCTTATATATTACAAAATGAATTCCTTACCGATTAGTATACCAGATTGCTCGAAGTAGGGTGCTACGAAATCGATTACTTCCTCGCGTTCCGAGGTCATTGTCAGCGCGGCAATTACGATGTCAGTTTCCTGCAAGCATGACACAATGACTCATATTCCTTGGTATCAGGTGAAAAGATGAATCATTGTCACTTTCACCGACATTTACAAATTTTGACTCTAGAATTCTTCTGTGGATTTTAATGAATTGCTATGTATTTGTTGTGTTGTTTAATTGTCTTACCCCTCTTGCAAGATCACCGATTACCCCGTCCCATTGTCCATTGGGTAATTTTTTTCCAAACTGCTTATCTTGAGGAACAACTAACTCATAATCGAACTCCATTTCCTCGGAAAGCTTCTTCACGAAATCGATGCAGTAACCGTCCCACATTTCGTTCCCATTCTCGTCTTTCATCACTTGGTTGGTCACCGGATCCAGTTTAGGCACCGTCCAAGGTACTAACTAATGCAATTTTAGTACCTCATTATTCATCAAAATTATTTACTTATTTACTTTACTTCATTATTCATAAAAATTATGGTATACTTTAATTGTTATTCATTGGTTTATATTATATCATTGATTAATCATTGATTTAACCATTTTAACATTTGATATTAACATTGACTTTAAGTTCAGAGGATTACTGTCTTCATACAAATATCTTAACACAATTGAAATGTTGATAATAACATTGTTATCAAAAACACTATTTCAACCATCTACTTTTCAACAAAGTTAGAACGATATATTACAGGAGAAGTTCCGATTCGAAAAAATCTTCTAGCGGGTTCTATCTTCTTCCCTTCAGCTTCCTTAATTTTTCCATGTCTCGTCCAGCTGGCTAAAGGCTCCAAGACTCCATTCTCGAGCGTTTCAATTTCTATTTCCGCTTTGTACGTGATTATTCCCCTGTCTGACCAGTACTCGAACGTGTCGTTGCCTCCTAACCTCTATCACAAACATTTTAATTTAACAATGTTTCTTTTCTTCCTCAACCTTCTTGTATCAGCACAAAATTTTATAGCGATTAATAATTTCATAGACGAGATTATTATAACTCACAGCCAGTATGTTTTTGTTAAAAGCCTCAGAAGTAAGATTCGAAGGCTGACTAATATTCGAAGAAGAACATCGTCCACTTTTCGGCTCCACGCTGACTCCTGATTTCTGCAGCTCGCTCATTAGATTCACTATTAGGCCTATCAGTCGTTTAAAGTAGTACGAAAATATCTGCATGGATTTCAAGAGAAATATTCAATGTTACTGTGATATTTAAGAGCTGGAAAGGTTATAAAAGAGTTATACCGGGACATCAGAGGGACAATTGCAGGAAGAATCACCCATCAAACGACAGCAGACACTTTTCTTCATCGACAAGATGGTGATCGATACATTCAATTGTGAGTCTCCATTGATATATTTGAAGTCTTTGTAATTATTGTCCGTGAATACCAAGTTCCAAATCCCTCCTCGTTTTACGAGGCTCCCCTGAATAGCCTGCCATATAAATACAACAAAATGAGTGAAATTAAATACAATAGAATTATTACAATTATTAAAACTATTAAAAATTTCAACACAATAGAATAGAATTAAACTTTTTAATACAACAAATGAATCAATAAAACCATGTCCTCATAGAATAATTTATGAATAATGTGTAAGAAATTCGCTCACCGTGCGAAAGAGGTCCTCCATTTTGGACGTGCTCGCGTAAATCGTGTAATAAGATGGCGACGGTCTCATGTTTTTAATCTTGGACACCGTCTTCTCCGTGAACTCGTCGATCACCACCAGTCTGATGATCGAATTCCCGATCAAATAATACAGACTCTGATTCAATTCTGCAATAAATCAAACACCACGGTTTCGTCAGAAAACGTTCCGCCAGAAGTTCATTGGCGATTAATGTCAAGGTACCCCTTTCATCTTCGAAGATCAAGCCCACGTCCGTGGCATTCTTCAACATCAAAAGATCATCGATCGCCTGCACATACGGATTTATACTGCAATCGCCTCGTTTGTATATTATTCCATTCTGGTCGGCTAGGCTTCGTAGCTTTTCCCAGCCGGTCCAAGTCATGTCGAGTACGATACTGATTCCCTTAAATAAGGCAGCACATACTGCAAGTTGATTTTAACGAGACAAGAATAAGAACGAGGTATAATTACAACTGGCTCGGGAGATGCTTGTTAGTTATTTGCTGAGTTTGATTTGCTTGTTAGGTACTGCACAGAGATGAAGAGTTAGAGAATGTACAGGAGATAATTTAGAAATTCTCATATTTTCTAGTTTGTACTCGGAAGCTCAAATTTTATGTATTCGATGTACTCAGAAGCTCAAATTTTATGTATTCGATGTACTCAGAAGCTCAAATTTTATGTATTCAATATACTCAGAAGCTCAAATTTTATGTATTCAATATACTCAGAAGCTTAATATACTCAAAGCTCAAATTTTATGTATTCAATATACTCAGAAGCTCAATATACTCAAAGCTCAATATACCCAAAGCTCAATACACTCAAAGCTCAATACACTCAAAGCTCAATACACTTAAAGCTTAATATACACAAAGCTCAGTACACTCAAAGCTCAATACACTCAAAGCTCAGTACACTCAAAGCTCAGTACATTCAAAGCTCAGTACACCCAAAGCTTAATACACTCAAAGCTCAGTACACTCAAAGCCCAATATACTCAAAACTCAGTACACTCAATGCTCAGTACACTCAAAGCTCAGTACATTCAAAGCTCAGTACACCCAAAGCTTAATACACTCAAAGCTCAGTACACTCAAAGCCCAATACACTCAAAGCTCAGTACACTCAGAGCTCAGTACACTCAAAGCTCAATACACACAAAGCTCAGTGCACTCAAAACTCAATACACTCAAAGCTATAAATTCTGAGATTTTAGATCCCAAATTTGTTCTGTCTATTAGGTATATACCGATAGTTCATAATTTCTAATTTGAAGACCCACCCTTAGAGCCCCAAAAGCGAGAAATTATCGAGGGTGGTATCTCTCTTGTCCCACTATCTAACTCATTTCTGCACAGACCATTATACTTGTAAAATTTTCTTAACCTCTCTCGAAACTGGCGTCCAGGTTTGATCGGTCAACTTGAACAGTGGCAATCTGTACAGTGATCATATCATCCCCGAAGTTCTTCTCTGCTTGGGGCACAGCGTCGTTCAACAGGCTCAGAATCGACGTGTCTGCTTGCTCTATCACTATCACTAGACAGTAAAAATTTGAATCACCCAATATTTTAATTTAATATAAAATGGGAAATATGAAAGAGTCGACCTGCTGAAGAAATACTTATATTTGTAAATTTTTGTTGACACAGTTTGATTTCCAACGTCTATCTTCTTTTATTAAATATTGTGTTTGTATATGATTACCAATGTTGTAATAGTACTATCGACATTTGTGTTACATATATCAGGTTTTATCGGAATAGTTTCATGGAACACGCGACCTCGTTACAGTAACGTTAGATCTAATCGTAAGTGATTATACGTGGCGAGTTTCTAATGCCCAAGGGAGGATGTACGTGAATCGTAAGTCTCGATTGTGTCGTAAAACCCTTAACTATTTCTCCCCTTAATTATTCCATTTACGTACTTTCATAATTATTATTTCTTTCTATATGATACGTTTCATATTTTTCTTCTTCGATCATTTTTGTCAAAAAGCCCTTGTTTTGTATGTCAAGGACCGAAAATGGTATTTCAATCGACACTGAAAATGCAGAAGGTTTTAGACTGACGTCGAGTAAATTATTCAATAATAGTACGGCAAGTTTTCGTATCAGGGTATTGGGAGCGGATAAATGTTTCATGCGGAACAATCAATGTTTCAGCTTAACGATCGATTCAATTTTGATCAGAATTTTTAATCGCATTTGTAAGTAATACATTTTTCAAATTACTTCTCTAATAATTACGGTAAAGAGGATTGTGAATGTTGGTCGACGTTCTGTAATTTACGGCTTCAATTTTGTAATGGACGCACGATTACAACGGGGGTGTTTTTCTTGAAAATTGGTCGCGCTGGTGTAAGTACATGAGTATGAACACGTATTTTGCAGTGGACTCAACGAAGTGTTTTTCTTGAAAATTTTTAATAGTAACATTTATAAAAATATGAATACATTGGAGAAATATTTTGCATTTAAGGAAACATTTTTATTAACACTGCTGACCGACTATTTGTAAAATTGCATCAAAGAAAATGAAATTAAAATAAATAATACTATGTCGACAACAGATATAATCTTTTTTTAAGAATTATACAAATTAATGTAAATACAAATTGCGACTGTATATAAACATAATAAAGACCTATTTTATAATGAAACATATAATGAAACACTGAGACCTAAGTACTTCTTGTAAATTAAAAAGATCACAGTTGTAGATTAAAAGTCATACGAACATCATAAAGATAACCACTTTATTTATTTCAAAAGACGATTAAACAAAAGGTTATTATTAAGGCAGCGATTTAACTTTTAAATGAAATAATGTTAGCTACAGGGTCCAAAATTATGCAAATGTATTATAATCTAAACTTACGCATGGTCATGGAGGTTTGAGAAAAAGAAGATCCGAAGAAGGAGACGAACAAGAAGACACTCGCGAGTAACAGGGACGACATAGCGGAGAACCGAGTCCGGTGCCGGATGAACGAACAACAATTGTTCATTCGTAGACGAAGAACCCGGAGGACATCGTCGACGTCGTCGGCTAACGACGCCTGCGCCGATGGATACGACGTTTGCTTATGAATATTGCACCGTCGTCTATCAAATCATGATCCTTTTGCCCGGATAACTCGGTTTGCTACGTGGACATAGGGACCAACGATATGACATCCTGACAACTTACGTTACCTTTCGTTTCTATCTACTGGGCATCGATTTATCGTTAAACCTATCAACTGTCAAGGATTATCAACCTGAATGTACGTGGCTGGTGGAAGTTCGAGTACGAGGAGGGTAGTGTAGTGTTACATTTTTTCGAATAATTATACTAGCGTGAAACTATGTTTTGTATATGAAACATGTACTCAAAATTAAGCGTGAAACAAATTGGACCTATAAAAGCTTTCAATATTAACAAACAGTTTTTTACGTGTCTTTAAAACTAAACCTATAGATATAAACACTTATTCTGAAATTAAAAATGAGGCTGAAAAATAAATAGACAAGTAACAAAACATAAATGAACACTTACTCTGAAATTAAAAATGAGGCTGAAAAATAAATAAACAGATGTCAAAACATAAATGCACACTTACTCTGAAATTAAGAATGAGGTTGAAAAATAAATAGACAAGTAAAAAAACATAAATGAACACTTACTCTGAAATTAAAAATGAGGCTGAAAAATAAACAAACAAATGTTAAAACATAAATGCACACTTACTCTGAAATTAAAAATGAGACTGAAAAATAAATAGACAAGTAAAAAATCATAAATGAACACTTACTCTGAAATTAAAAATGAGGCTGAAAAATAAACAAACAAATGTTAAAACATAAATGCACACTTACTCTGAAATTAAAAATGAGGTTGAAAAATAAATAGACAAGTAAAAAAACATAAATGCACACTTACTCTGAAATTAAAAATGAAGTTGAAAAATAAATAAACAAATGATAAAACATAAATTAATATACACATTAAATCTTCATCTTCATGAAGATTAATAGAGTTTCTAAAAAATTGTTTCAACAAATTTTGTAAGTTAAAATGAAAGACTTGTAAAAAGGTCATATTACAAGTCTCTCATTTTAAAATAAAATACTACAATACTCTTATCGTTGTATATCATATAATAAAGACAGCAAAATATTTCTTCTCCGTGATTATTAAATTTAAACTAAAAATGAGTAACTCAAGATAAAGTAGTTGTAGTATGGAACATTTGTTGAAAATTTATATTAAAAACAATTTGTCAAAATAATGAAATGGAATGAATTTTTATTGTGAAATCCATAAACTTTCAATTACATTAAGGAATGAAATATTCAGAATAAAACGATATGAAAATCGTATCTAAAATTTCTGTATCAGTAGAACAGGTCAATTTCCGAGCGTATTAACTGTTCTCTCGTGACAATAAATGATCGATACGCATGCTATTGATTAACTGCACGTGACGCAAAGTTTCGACGAGAACCATCCGTGGAAGTAAAACTGGTAATCACGAATCGTTTGCTGAAAACACCAATTTTCTAATCGATCATTGATTGTATCGACGTTCCAGCTGGCCATGGACACAAGTACCACCGATACTACCGGCCAGACAGAGCAAATATAAGTTTCATACTTGAGGACTTTCAAATTAACTTAAATTTCATGTGTAATAGCGGTGCTAATTCACAGTCGCATTTCATCACGATTTGCCACATGTCGTATCGTTGCAATGTTGTCACGCATTATTCCATTATGCGGTAATTTAGTTAGGTGTAATATCGACCATACTGTCGGCTTACTTTCGATAAGGAATGTACACTTCGCAATTCTGAAATTTATAGCCAATTTAATTTAGAATAATTTCAAATTTCATTGCCACACGAGATTCTTAAATTTCTAACATTCTAATTTTTCAAACATTTAATCAGTAAATTGCTAGACTTTTAAATTCACTTTCCAAGTTTGATACTCTCTGTCAAAAATTTCACGAGTTATCAAAAATGAAATCTTATTTCATATACTTTGAATTGGATATACTTTCATATACTTTTAGTTACACATGAAAGAATAAAAATTTGTTAAAGGGAATCTATCATAAATGTCCTTAAGAACTCTGCTATAAATGTGATATGAATCTATATCTTAAATAATATCGATTTATATTGAGGGTCTCACAAACTCGATCAGCAATATTGCAAGAACGCATCAGTTTTCCATCATTCAATCGCTATTTCCACGATCGCTGGACGATAAAGTTCCCTTTGACCGCGTCCAGACAAATCGCTTCATCGAATAACGAAAAAGAAGACGATAGAATCAGTTTCACGATCGTTAAATCCAGCCAGGACGAACGACCGTGGCGGGCATCACGTTTTCCCATTATCAAACCTGATCATGGTCTAAGGTTGATTAATTTCCATGGTTGAGAAAACCTGTGAATCGACGATGCGCGGTCACAAAGGATCGCCACGCAAGGATCGAGATTGCCTTGCAGATGTTCCTCTCCAGAGGCAGCTGAAGCGAAATGCTTCAATAATCTCGCACTATTTTTAAATATAGTCGAGTGTCCTTTATACGTGCGCAATCTCGAGGAACATTGGTCATCGATGGATTTCATCTTATTTTCGTTTCTTTTCTGTTGAGCTTCGATAGTGAAGCTGTTGCATGTAGAATCGGTATATTTTTAATAAAGAGTTGGTCCTCAATCATTTTTAAAAAACTAACTAATTAATGACTCTAAGGATGTGAATAATTGTATGCAAATATAGAGAACATGTATAAAAATAATTATAAAATAAGAACATATATAAAATAATTAAATTTGTACATTGTATTATAATGTAGAAATAATGGAGGATGCAGAGAAGAATTCAGGATCTTAAAATTCAGAAAAAAAGACTCAACATGTATCACACAAGTATCGTTTATATACAACAAATATAAAAAATATTCCTTTATTTCTAAGAATTTTATAAATTCATGCGTTTATGAATTTTATAAATTATACAATGTATGTATTTATTAAAACCTTGAATTCAAAGGAGCTCATTGAGAATTACATTTCACAAAATGATAAATAAATTATATAATTATGAACATAATAACTTACTGATCTAGATGTACAAAATTTATGGTAAAATCTAATGAGAGTACACAGAAATATTATTTATTTGTAAGAATAAATTATACAAAACGTATGTATTTATTAAAACCTTGAACTCAAATGAGCTCCTTGGCCGAATTACATTTTACAAAATAATAAATAAATTTCATAATTATAATTATAATAACTTACTGATCTAAATGTACAAAATTTGTAGTAAAATCTAATGAGACTTGTTTATTTGTAAGAATAAATTATACAAAACGTATGTATTTATTAAAGCCTTGAACTTAAACGAGTTCCTTGGCCGAATTACATTTTACAATATAATAAATAAATTGTATAATTATGAACATAATAACTTACTGATTTAGACTTACAAAATTTATAGTAAAATCTAATGAGACTACACAGAAATATTATTTATTTGTAAGAATAAATTATACAAAATGCATGTATTTATTAAAACCTTGAACTCAAACGAGCTCGCTGAGAATTACATTTCACAAAATAATAAATAAATTATATAATTATAAACCTAATAACTTACTGATCTTACTTTATAGTAAAATCTAATGGGACTTGTTTATTCGTAACAATAAATAATAAAAAAAATTGAAAGTAAAGAATAATACCAAAGCGCCACATTTTATCTGAGCGTTGAACTATGTAGCTGCAAACATTTTTAAACGAGCGCCAGATGTCGCGCCCTGCACTGGAAGCGAGTTCTTCCGTTTGAGGATTTATTTCATATTATGAATCAGCCTATCATTACGTCGCACACATTCTTGCATAATTTAATTTCAGCTTTCAATCATATAAATAAATAATTACCGCAGTTGCGGAAGTATGGTAGTCGATAAAATAGAAAATGACAACATCGCATTTATAATTGATTCAATGAAAAGAGCGGATTTAACGATGATCGTTACGTGTTGAAATTGAAAAAGTATGTTATAATAACAGGAGAGGATAAAGAATCGATAAACAGGAAGGCAGCCTTGAGATGTTTGATCGGAATCGTCACAAATTCGAGCGCTTTCAACATTTGTAGCAGGAACGGGTCGTAAAGAGATGTTTGAAAAATACGCGCAGAATGGCAGTTAAGGCGGCAACAGTCCCGCCGACGCATCGAAGGGATATCGGTATATTTTTCTTGCATAATTTAGTTCACCAGACGCTGCAGTTCTTTTCAATCGACGCCAATTCTTAGCCTAAAATACTGTTCCAGTTTCGTGTAACACGGAACATGCAACGCGCTCTTCTCGTCTCGGATGAAGATTTACCGCGAAAGATAGAAAATAAAAGATCGGACCAAGGTCGTTATTTTTTACGGTACAGCGCGAAATTTTCGAGGTAACCGCGATGCATAACTAACGCGAAAGAAAAGAAATTGGGACAAGGCGAGTTAAAATATGCACGAAAGAGTTGGCTCCATTACAATAGGAAATCGTATTTGCATAAATAGTGCAACGATGGGAATGCGTTTACGCGAACGCGGTTGATACACCGTTTAACTACCGTTACGGGACACACGGTGCGGTCGGTTGAATGAAGCAAACGAGAACGAAGAAAGAGGAAGGAAAACGTGCGCAGAAGCGCATGCACTAGAAACGAAATGCACGCGTCAAAACGTATTACAATTTCACGCACGAAAAGTTACATGAAAAGGTTCGAGGAACGCGAAGGGACGAGACGTATCGTGGACAAATTTTCTTCGCAAAACCAGTCGTCGGTAAAATAAACAGACTTTCCTTAATTTATCAGACTGGTTACGTTTAATGTATTAATTTTTATGCCGGTCGAATATGGCTGTAGAACTCTTCAAAGAACTCTTTTAAAAATTCATCAAATTAATGAAAGAATTAGAATCGCTAAGTGGCGTTACTGTAAGGACTTTACATTTTTATTAAAGACACGACTACATTAATTTTATGTCAATTTATGTTTCATTAGAAAATTGCAAATAAATAGGAAATTTTGGTTAAAAACAATGTAATTCATTATTTGCTCTAGAGACTCAAATACACTTGTTTTGGTATTTCGCTTATGGGCTTTCTTTTCTCTACTTTCTTTACCGCGATGCACTGCACTATAAACATTGGAATATTCTTTGATTCGTTATCTTTGTAATAAAAATGCGCTGTAAGAATCAATACAGCACTTCCCAAATTTTAATGAGCCAAGGCCCAATTTCGACATCAATTTTCCGTAACTCACTCGATTATTTTCAAAAACTCTGAACTCCACAATGCGAAAATTTTTAAGTCTCAAAGTCCTGAAATTTAAAAATGTCGGACGCCCCACAATCTCAAAGATCGAAACATTAATAGTTCCAAAGTATCAATATTGTTTACAGTTATTGTTTATTCATGTTCAAAATATAAAGAACAGTCTTATGTTCATAAATGACTTATGATATTCAAACAAAATCATAAATATATCATAAATAAATGTGCATGTATATAAACATCAAAGAACTGTATAAAATTTGAAATAATAATTTCAAGCAGTTTTCGCAGGGGTACATATTTTAATTTTGCTTATTTATTTAAACGTATTTAAGAATTTTCCCAGGCTCTGGATTTTATCGAGGTACCCCATGAATTCCGGAAAATGCACGTACGAAAAAAAAGTCATAAGATAAATCGTACGTTGAAGGAAGAAAGGAAGAGAGAATGGAATTTTATTCAAGAAGCGCTCTAATGCGGGAAGTAGAGGCTCGGTGATTTCCGTACGCAATCGGTTGTTTCCGGGCACGGCCGCCCTCCCGAACTAAACCATTCATTCGCTGAAGCGAGAGGTTGCAGTCAGACGAGGACCGTGATAGGAAGGTGGTAGGTGCAAACGAGAGTTCTGTGGAAAAAGGATGGAGAAAGCTCGCGAGCCAGTAAGCGAGTGAATGAGAGAAGTTTCAGAGGAAAGGAGAAGGAAAGCGTCGTGGCTCGGGAGGGAGGAAAAGAGGAGAATACACGAGAGGTAGGCTAGGCCGATTCGAAAAGGCTGGCTGTTAAGGTGCATTTACACTAAACGAGCGAGGCACAAGAGCGTTCGTTCGTGCTCGTTTAACCTATGAACGATCGTCGAGCCAATCGTTTTGCTCCGCAATCTTGCAAATCGTTCATCGAGTAGATGAATGCGTGAGAATTTTCTTGGTTTTATGAATGCTTACAATCGATACGAATCGAATCAAACTGAATTATGTATACGGAATTAAAACACGATGACCTGCGTTCAATTGAAATTCAAAACATATTAGAATGTGTTGAGACTTGAAATTGAAAATTGAGTCGTAGTTAAATCGTGGAACGCATAAAATTAAATCGCGTCGAATTGAAACTCGTCAAATTGAATTATCCAGAACCGGATTGTGTCGAATCGAATCGCGTTGGATCGAATCACGTTGAATTGAAACGCATCGAATTGAAACTCGTCAAATTGAATTACCCGGAACCGAATTGTGTCGAATTGAATCCCGTTGAATTGAATCGCGACGTATCGAATCGCGTCAAGATGAATAACATTGTATCGAATCGGGCGTAGTTGGAAACGAAAACGTGTTGAATCGAATTGTACCGCAGACAAATCGCATTAAATCGAACCGCGTCAGGTTAAATCGATTCAACAAGTTCCCATTCTTATCTTCGGAGCATTCGAGGCGGCGAAGAATCCCGAGCGCTCGGCGCTCGTTCAGGCTCGAAGTTGGCCGAAGTGGGGGAAACAGAGCGTTCTCTCGGCCAGTCGAAACGCACCCTAAGAAAGCGAGGGAGCTTATTGGATGGCAGGCAGACTGGCCGGTCGCGCTGTATAGTTAACAACTCCCAAGTAAATCGGCAGCAGATGTGGCCAGTTAGCTCGGTGCCGTGTTCTCGTTCGGATCACAGAGTCCCGTGAATTTCGACAGAACGAACTCGCGGTCTACAGCGGCAACGATCATCGATAGCTCGATAAGCCTGGAATCGCGTTGACAAGCATAAACGACGGAAGAAAAATCGTTGCGGAGCATCGAGCAGCAAAAGAGTACAGTTGTCCTCGGTTGTTCGAACTGGAGAGAAGAGGAGAATAAATCGAATGGAACAGTCGGTCGCGCGCCAGCACCAAGAACGCAGTGACCGTCGTACCTGTCCGTCGGTGGCCGAAGACTTGCCCGATCGAGGCAGCGATGTGGCAACGTTGCTGGTGGCTCGCGAGCGGAGGAGTCAGTCGTCGCTCGGCCGTTCTATCGTAGTTCGCGTCTGACAGTGCAGTGTCGGTTGTCATAGAATCGCGAGGGCCC